TACCTTAAATTGTGCACTCTAAATTTAGCAGCCAGAGACAGAATGATCAGGAAGGGCTAAATTAATATTATGTCAAAAAGGCCTTGGGACAAGGAAAGCAAAAAAGCCAATTTGGAACAGAGGGTCCCCTTTCAAGTCTTCTAGTTCAGAGCAGAATATAGAGGAACTGCTTTTCAGCAGGAAAAGTTTGAAATGAGCCAGTATTTTAGGGAGCTGGACAATGGGACGTGTCACTGTCCTTTATGATCTGACCAAGGCTCACTCTGAATAACTGAGGGTTACAGTGGCAGGTTGATAAATTCTGGCCTTCCAGAACATGTCTGCTGAGTTTCTGGGGTCTTTTAAAGCTTTCTGTGCATTATTTTCATGCAGTAAACACTGCTTGGGAACTCTGCCCAAAATGAGGCTATCAATGGCAAAGGAAGTGATGCCAGATTAGTTGTAATATTTCTGTGTGGAGATTTCCTATGTGCTCTGAACGTAGCCTGAAGGGACAGGGATGTTGAATTCAATCACTATTTTCATGGTGACTTATTTGGAGCTCATGTTAAGATGGCATTCACATTGCACAAAGTATGTAGATTAAAGATTCTTTTTTTTCAGGGCTTTCGCCCCTTGAGAATGCTGTGGTCAAAATAATCTAGCATATAAAAAGAGTTCTAGAGGGCTATTTCAGGAAGCAGGAGTATATGTTTACATTTCAACTTTCCTCCCTTTCTCTTCCACCAGTCACTTTTTAAACAAATTGCACTATTTTCTCTGGCTTCACCAAACTTTATACTGCAGATAGGCCAGTTTAAAAGAATAACAATTTTTTTTTTTTTAAATAATCCAATAACGATACTGCATTGTGGGCTCATTTGAGGCCTTCTGTTTGTGTTTCTTGATTCCCCCAGTTCCCAGATGTCCAGTGACTCATCCTCCTGAACAATGGGAACAGCATCTCCCAGTCCTTCTCTTGGTCCCAGTGGCAGAAGTGTTACTCAGAGGGTCTGGACTGCACAGGGAGGGGAGCTCAGAGTGACAGAATGAGTCACCCCAGCTTTGTGGTCACTCCTGTGTGGGCAGCAAGGAGAGGAGCACCAATGGTCACTGCTGTACTCTGGGGCACTAAAATGGGATCATCTGAGCTACATAAAATTCATAACTCAGAGGTCAGTGCTCCCTCCCCCACAGCTGTCCCGTAAAACACGGGCTGTGGGTGCAGGAGACACCACTGAAACGTCTTGATTTATTATCAGGAGGATGAAAATCCATAAAAATAGCCAACTGGCTTGTAACTCTCCAATGTGAAATGTACTAATCGAGGACTAGTTAAAAATAAAATAAATAAGAAATGTCAGTGTGTGAATGCTTCACTGACAGGCTGCTGGGACTGTGACAGAACAGGGCTTCCTATCTCAGAATTGTGCTGGTTGAAGTTAAATAGTCTTTCATATTTTAAAAGCATTATTCGTGAATAATGTTAGAATATTTTTAAAGGAAATAGTGTACTGTTAGGACATTGCAAGATGTGAGTCTTTTTAATTCAGAAAGGCAGAAGCTCAACAACTTTCTATGAGCACCATTGATCTGAGGAAGTTTCTGGAGCTGCCACAGTTTTTCTTGCAACATCAGCCTGTAAAAGATCTGATCTGGATCTTTTTTGTTTGTTTTCTAAGTGAACACACCAAGATGTGATTATATTTAGGTAGTTACACTTTGTATAAATACACATAGAGGGTATAAATATACATATATTATAAATAACTTCAGCTTTCATTTCTACATTGCAAGCATAGCTTGAAATAGATTGTGATGTTAAAATAAGCTTTCTTTTTCCCCAACAGAACCATTAAAATATTGAAATTGAAGGCATCAATCTGCATAAAGTTATTTTTAGTATCTGATGAATCAATTGCAAATATTTGCTGACACTTTTATAGGAAGTCATGGTCATGGACCTGAAATAACTGGCTGAGATCTGGAGGAGGAAAACACTTGAACTGCTAAGCCAGCTTTGAATGGAGCTGAATGGCTGGATGAATATTGGGGAAACACTAAATATTTGCACTGAAAAAGCCAAACCAGCTTCTTTATGGCCAGTGTCATAAAGAGAAAAAATAATTCAACACAAAAGAGGCAGCTGATATTTATTTTGATAATTACTTGCTTTGAATGGAAAATCTACTTTGATTTAGAAACTGTGCGTGTATATTTAAATACATACATTTATATACATAAGCATTTGTTTGTATGTGTGTGTAATACCCAAAGCATGAGACAGCTTTGCATAAATAATAATTTATTAGTGGAATTCAAAAATCCACTGAAGTGCAGCTTGATATAAAACTCAGTGAATTTGACTTCTAGATGTAATTAATATTGCTGTCTGAATGACTAGGAAAAATGAATACAGAAAGGAATGTTCAGTTAGCATAATTGTTCTAATTAGAAACACTAACAGCAAACAGTTGTGAAACCTGGAGTTTCCATATTTTCCTCATTTAATACATTACATGTTACTCATCACGTCAGTTAATGCCCAGTGCCTGTGAGTGCTGCTGCCTGGAGGAGCTGAATGTGCTTCCCAGAAGATCCCAGTTTGCTGTAAATCTGACTAAGATGTAGGACAAGGTTATTCCAGAAGCCCTTGGAGCAGGAACTGAGTTCACATTTCCCTAGGACTTAATAAAGAATCATTAATCAGGGAATCATTAATCAGGGAATCATTAAGGCAGGAGGTTTTGAGTGTGCGCACTGGCTTTGGGCTTATTACTCCGGCACGTTTTTGGTGGGTGTTTTTCCTCCCTTCATGTTTGTGTGCTTTCATGTTTTGAGGGTTTTTAAACTTCAAACCCTCTGGAGCTTGTTGAGGATTTGTTGTTTTGGCTGGAAACAGATATTTTGACTTAAGAACTGGACGCCTTTGGATTCTGTGTTAGAGGAGAATATTGAGATTCCTTCAGATCTGTCAGACCATGCATATGGTGCTCACACCTGTTCCAGCCACCTGACTTACCCAGCCCTCCCAGTGCTTTGCCATTGCTGATTAAAATTTCCCTGAACAAATTACGTGGCTTAATTGCAACGTTAATAAGAGCTGGGTAAGAATCTAGAGAAGAATCTGTTTTCCTTAAATCACTGCAGAAATGAACGTGTATTTTTTCCATTAATCAGTTGATTTTCTTAGCTCCCTATCAATGTGCAGAATGTCAGAGTGATGGATGCTGGGGTGGGAATGAGGGGAGGCAGATCCTGCCTGTGTGTCCCTGCATTTCACAGGCACATGGCTGTTCCTGCTCCAGCCTGGGAGGGGGAACAGACAGGCAGGGACTCTTGAAGCAACTGGGTAGAAAATTGGAAGAATGTCCATCAGAAATGGCCCCTTTGCAGTATTTTTGCATGTCTGAAGGAGCTGTTTGGGATGGAGCACCACAGATAGAGAAGGGGTTTTTTTGTAGCTTCAGTGATCTTTTCTTTCTGGGCTCTCCCATCTCCTGAATATGACTAATGCTGTACAGGAAGCCCTTTTCTCTTATTCATGCAGTCTGTGATATCTCTTCTGATCCACAGAGTGCCAAAAAATACAGGAAATTACTTTCACCTTATGAAAATTCATGATTGTAAGGAAGCTCTTAGAGCAATTGTTCTTTGGAAACTTCCCCTCTCCCCCACCCCACCCCCAAAAAAAGAAGTGGTTTTTTTTCTGCCAGCAATCCATTGTAAATCTTTTGTTGATACATGGTACTCTTTTGCAAATCCATGTGTTCTCTCTCCTTTATGAAAAGACACTTCCAGTTTTAAATGTTAGAAAATAATAAGCTGCAGCTCCTTTTGTGTGTGCCTTATGCTGGGAGTGTGTACTTGTCCAACACTGAATCCTCTGATCTCCAGTCTGATTCCTCACAAAGAGCTGTTGTGTTCATCTGTTCAGAGTTGTGCTGGGGGCAGGAATTCTCTTCTGTCTCAGGGCTATGGTGTAGAGGAGGATGTATGGTTTAGGAGCCTTTATTGCAGCTGTAGTACTTGGAGGAAGTTCCATTCTGAGCTAGTGACTTGATGATGGCACCTACTGTCATTTGGTCATGACTGACAGCCCTGCTTCATGATAAAGAGTGGGTTTTCCTGCCTAAAATCACTAAAAGGCAGCAGGATTTTCCACTTTATCATTCTCATGGCATGGCTACAACTCCAAGACATATCCTGAACAATAAAGAAGACTTACTGAATTACTTCTTCATGAAAGGAAGCATTTGCTGGAGGGTTTTACTCCAGAGTAGTCTGCATATGTATGGAAACAATATTGTTATTTCCTTAAAAGTCTGTGCAGGGCTTCTTGTCCCCACTTAATGCAGAGAGGCCCTTGGTTTGGGTGGGACACCCAGGCAAGCTTGTTTGATAAAACACCAAGTCCTCTTAGACAAGAGTAAATTTTCACACAAGAATGACTTCTCCCTGTACACGTTCCTATTTTCTTCTTGATAAAATTGCTAAAAGACTTTTTACAAGATGAGCAAGTCTATTATTAAAAGTCTTGAGCCCAGAAGGGGAGCTGTCTGTATAAGAGCAAGTCCTTGAAGTGCTCCTTTTTTCCTTTGTTTGTGACAAGCAAGTCTAGCTTAAGTCACCATTAATTGTGGGGGACTTAAATCTTCCACTTTTCTAGGATATGCTTTTGTTCACTGTTATGAATTTTAAACAAACTACACTGGTTTCTTGTAAATGTGTTTCATTTTTTACTCCCACTCAGTGTCAGTTAACTGCACTTATCTTACAAGGGGGAAAAAAACCAAATTCTTTTAAGTCAAAGAACTGACTTTGATAACACCACTCTTTTATTGTAGAGATTTACTGGATAGATCTGAACATTTGTGTAAATCTCTTCACAACTTTGATTTTTCCAGACCTGGTGATATTGCTTTGTTAGACTTCAGTTCATGTTGGGAAGAAGGCCTTGGTTCTGTTGGATTTGCTGCCCTAGACACAAGCTCAGTTGCCTTATCTTTGCTTTTCCACAGGGTGAATCAGTGAAATACTTCCTGGATAACCTGGATCGGATCGGTCAGCTGGTAAGAAACCTTCTCCTTCTGAAGCACAGAGCTCCAAGGGACAAGGAGAGCCTGAGTGTGCTGTGATTAATGGGGTTTGCTTGGGCTTTTTCATTTGTTTATGAAATAATTACGCATTAAATTCAGTGTTCTTTCTGTAGGAACAGTAAACTGCAGCTTTCTGAAACTGGAGCTTAGCTTTTGTTTAATCTTTTTTGACAGCCAACAAATGGAAGTTGTATTTGTGCACATATTTTATCAGCCCTTCTGTGCAGTCTCTGGATCTCATTCGCTTTTCCTGATGTTCTGAGGGCTGCTGCTACTTAAGGTAGCAGAATGAAACCTTAGCGAAATAAAAACCATTCCTAGCACTTGTAGGATTCAAACTCTGTAATGAAAACATCTGTCTGGACACTTGGAGGAGAAAGAAGAGAGATGATTTTCCTAAACAGTAGCAATGATAAGGTTCTGAAGAACAAGTTTCTCTGTAGCAGTAGATCGGGGCACAGCCTGTGGTAGAATCTGTTGCTGTACTTGCTGGCCATAGAGTATGGACCTGGAAGAAAAGTTTCCACTAAAGCTTTCAAGATGGTCCTTGTAAAAGTAATGAACTGTGGAAAAGCTAGATTTAAAAAAATCCACCTTTTTGTGATGATTTGATCTGCTTTATTGAATGCCACCTAAATGGCAGTAACACTCTAGATAAGAATTTCATGATGAAAAAATACACTTGAATCTTAAACCAGGAGGCTTGATGGATGAAAGTGTGAGGTAGTGAATTAGTCCTTTATTTTTGTTCTCATATGTCTCAGGATCCCCTGTAGCTGTTTACCAAAGTGTTGAGCTAAATGGTCAACAGAGCACTGTTTTAAAGTTGAGTATTCATTCTTCATCTGATAATTTTTAAATTTAAAAGCAGCTCTTGGTGATTTTACCCATTCCTTCAGTATTCAGGCATTAGCCAGAATTTTTGAAGGACTTTTTTTGATACTTCTCTCCTTTCTTTGCAGAACTATTTCCCCAGCAAACAAGATATTTTGCTGGCCAGAAAAGCCACCAAGGGGATAGTAGAGCATGATTTCATCATTAAAAAAATTCCTTTCAAGATGGTGGATGTAGGGGGACAGAGATCTCAGCGTCAAAAATGGTTCCAGTGCTTTGATGGAATAACTTCAATTTTGTTCATGGTCTCCTCCAGCGAATACGACCAGGTCCTCATGGAAGACAGGCGCACAAACAGACTCGTGGAGTCCATGAATATCTTTGAGACAATAGTCAACAACAAGCTTTTCTTTAACGTTTCCATTATCCTATTCCTCAACAAGATGGACCTTCTCGTGGAGAAGGTCAAGACTGTCAGCATTAAGAAGTATTTCTCGGACTTCAAGGGCGACCCTCACCGCCTGGAGGACGTGCAGCGTTACCTGGTGCAGTGCTTCGACAGGAAGAGGCGGAACCGCAGCAAGCCCCTGTTCCACCACTTCACCACGGCCATCGACACGGAGAACATCCGCTTCGTGTTCCACGCCGTCAAGGACACCATCCTGCAGGAGAACCTCAAGGACATCATGCTGCAGTGAAGGAGGGCAGCCCCTGCTCTGTTGGAATTTCGCTGGAGGGTTCCATCGAAGTTTTTGATCCTTTCTTTGCGGGCCTCGCGTGCGGCGCGGGGCCTGTGCGAATTCCTTGGCTCAGGAATGCTGTACACTAGCCAGTCCAAACAGAGGAGCTCTAGGCCGGAGGAGTCGTGTTGATGTTAGCTACTGAATCACTTGGACTAAAACACTACTGAAACCTGGCCCCGGTCGGTTCTGTACTGAGTTTGGAACGCTGAATGACACAACCACCGTCTGCCTTCTTGGAGAACAGAAATCTCTGACAAACCATGGATGGAAGACACGTTTCCGATGAACACGCTCATTTTTCCGACACTAATTGTACAAACTGCCTTTTTTTTTTGTAGTTTGGAGGTGCTGAATCGATCAAACTAATCTAAACATGATGAGATTGGCAGCTGTATTGGAGAATGTTAATGGAGGTTCCATTCTTAACCCTTAGGAGTATAACCAGGTCTTGTGTGTGTGTTCAGCTTTGCCAGGGGTCTAGAATCCACCTCCCAAGGTGGATGCACAGCTCTTGTCTGAAGGTTTTGCATGAGTCTCCCGAGGGAGAAGTCTAAAACTGTGTAGGGAAACTCATGTTGGAGTAAATGGGATGGGGACTTGAGGCCTCGCTGATTCGGAGAAGGGTTTATTTTGCACTATGCTTGGAGGGTGTCACATCATGGAAAACTGATTTCCTTGGTGCAGCAGCCTGTGCTGGAGCACCCAGGCACGTATCTGCACAGTGGTTGCTCGAGGGAGATGTGCTCCATGGCCAGCTAGCACTGTCCTCACACCCACAGTGGGCAGCATTTGTGAAGGTTCAGTATCTCATGTGACAGGGCTTCATCTGAACTCAAAAGTTTGGAAGCTGATTAAACTCTTTAAGCAAAGGTTTTGGTAGCACAGCAGCTGCTTGATTAGTTCCCAACAGCTGACCTTGTAGGAAGACTGAACACCCTGGAGATCCCAGCTTTCCAGCTGCACTGATGGATTTGGACAGCAGGACCTTGCTGTAAAATTAGCCTTTAATCTGTGTCTTAATGGGATCTTCAGCCTTTAGTGATGCACATGGAACTCAGAGCACAGCTGGGTTTGGAGTCACCCCTTTGGGCAGTGGTTTGGGTGTAAAATGGCAAGAGGCTGTGAACAATTTGGGTGTGAACTCCAAATTTCCTTGTGCTCTCAGTCTCTGCCAGGTGCCTTTTTTGTGTACAGACATTGAATCTTTTCTATTGCAGTGGGGTACATGGACAAAGAAAGATATTGTAGTGCTATCCTTTAGGTAACTCAAACATAGTTTACTGTGCAATTTTTGTCATAGTTTTTTATCCAAGGATAAACCTGAAGGGCTGTTTGTACCCATAAAAAGTCAGCATAAAAAGTCCCTGGAGTTCTTATCCCCTTTGAGCCTGTAATGGCATGTCAAAACAAGCAAAGTTTTACTTCAGCTGGTAATCCCATGGGAAATGTGGTCAAAGAAAAGTCCTGTTCCGTTGTCCTTTCATGTTAATTTGGATAAAATCTGGAATCTTTCTTCCCCTCTGAAGCTTGCAGATGTTCATATCAGTATTTTTGTGTCGTTTCCTGATGTAGCAGCCTCCTGGCTTTCCTTGTGCAGGCTCCAGAGTGGAAAAGCTGTGGCTGTTTCAGTGCCTGTAACAGGAACAGAATCGACATAAGAAGCAACTGAGAAGTTGCAGATGGGAAAACCTAACTTAAATTGCAGCAAACTTAAACAGGAATTAGCTTCCTTGCAACAAGTCTTATTTTGCCAGGACCAACTCTGTCTTTTAAATATTTATTAATTTTTAGTCTTGAAGGGGAAGAATGTTATGTGACTAATATTCAGATGGGGAAAAAAAAATCTTCAGATTATTACATTTGAAAAGGAAAATGTTTCACCACAGCGTGATGCAAACAAGTTTGCTCATCACATTAAGGTTGGTTTCTCTGAGCCCATTTGTTTGGCTGAAGACTAAGGCTGCTTTCAAAGCTTTCAGAGGTTTTCTGAGTTCTTGGTGGTGGTTTTCACTTCACACAAGACACTGGGAAAGAGGAGGCAGTTGTGGGCTCACCTGACTTCTAGGCTGACTTGACTTTAGTTCTTAGTTTGCTGTGAGCTTTATTCCTTCACTGAATTTTCCAGATGAGTTAATATTATGCCTGTTTTCTCAAATTAGTTAAACATTCCCTAACAACTGTATTTTTTCTCAAGAATTACCTCAGTTTGGTGTCTGAATCTACTGTAGTTTTACCTGGGAGGCATAGCATGGAATTTCTGTTCTGTTTTTCTCTTGACACTCATCCATGGTTTTGTATCCTTAGTCACCTTATGGATTTACCCTCAACAGAGCTAATGATGCAACTTATATTTTAAATAACTTAAAATCTGCACCTGGAAAAGAAACAGCATGAGAGATCTCACTCTGAGCTCTCCAGCTGCTTTTTTTTTTTTTTTTGTATGATATGGCAGTTTTGCACACTAAGTCAGTTATAGGGAGCCAATTTGCCCACCTTGGGCCCATTATTGCCTTTCTTGTTTTAATTGATGAAATGGGCCCGAGTGTGGGGCTGCAGGTGAAAATCCATATTTTGCCTCTTTGTCAGGTTTGGATAATGATGGATCACACCAGGAACCCCAGCTCAGGAAACTCTCCTTGCAAAAGTCAAGCACTTCCAAGTTTGCAGAGGAGCTGGCTTGTGAGTAAAAAGGGCTTGGGGGTCTCTTTTAACTGTCAGCTTTCTCTGCAAAATACTCTTCATGCCACAGCTGAGGGGGCTTGGGGGTTTTTTCCAAGGAAAGTTGTAGCATAATAAAGCCAGGAAATCACGTTGTGGTAAATCAGTGAATTACTAAAGCAGAGCTTGGGTAGATGAGGTTGTTCACACTTCTAGGGACAGGCCTGGTGGGTTGCTTAGTCCTTTCACCAGAAACAAATAGAAAACTTTATTTTAAGTGACATCCTGGAGAACTTTGCAGGTAAACACAGCTGGAGAGAGCATCTTTTTTTGTTAGTTTTATAGGCTTATTGTTCATTTGGCTGGTCAGGAAATGGGTCACAGGCAGGATGATGATCAGATGGAGACCTTGAACAAGTACTTTTTTTTTTTTTTTTTAAAGAAAAAAGCAGCTTTTTGCTGTCCCTCCTGACACCCGGGGTCAGTGACAGAATCTTGCAGAGGGGTTGTCTCTCCTGAGGACAAAGAGAGGAAACTCTTGCAGCCTGTGCTTGGGGCAGAGACTTACATAAACCTGGAGCTGAAGTAGAAAAACTAAATGGGAGTCATTTTTCCAACAGTACTTGGTGTTTGTTCCTCAAAGCAAGTGTTAAGCTAATAGAGTGTGTCAGCACTGCAGGCTCTGAGCACTCCTTAGATGCACTGCAAGGTGACTTGGTGGAGCTCAAAAGGATGAGTGGTTTTCTGCAAGTGACATATTCAATAGGCACTTGTCACTTTGAAGGAAGGAAATAGTTGTTAATGTTGAAAATTACCTAATGGTGGTTATGGAATTGAAATTACTGGCCACTCAGTTTTACAACTCAAAGATGCTTTCAGTTTCATGCAGAGAATGGATCTTATTTAATATGGCAGCCTAGATCATTTGACTTATTAACTTGATAATATATTTAATTTTTCTTGATTGCTGCTGTGTAAAACCTAGAACTAGGCATGTTACAAGATTGAAGCTCCTGAAGATGACCATTCCCAGGCCTCCTGAGGCAGGTAAAGCTGAGCTGCAGCCAGGCTGGCAGAGTGGAGAAAGTAATGGCAAATAAACCATAGGGAAATGGAGTAGGAAGAGCTCATTTATACATGGCACTGGACACAAATATAGAATTCCCCTAGGACAGCTGAAGTGGCATTTGGTTTGAAAAGTGGTGCATTTGAGGTGTGTCCCATTCTGTCCATGTGTTGCCCCCTGTCCCCATGGCCTCATTCCCTCTGGGAATTCCCATCCTGGTTACTGTGATCTGCAGAGAAATGTAGAAAATTAAAGCAGTTAAAAGAACAGATGTGGTACCACTGAAGAAACCAGCAGCTCTCTTTAGTGACAGACAGCTGCCTTCCACAGAACAGCATTTTAGAAAACAGGTCCTCTGCTGCCTTTAGATGGCTGTCTTTGTATTAACTGTGTTTTAACTTATATTAACTTATGTTTTGGAGTCTTTTCTATATGTGTACTTTATTGCTGGGGGAAGAATCCTTTTGTGCATGGACCTAGAGGATTTCTCTAAAAGGCCCCTCTGATTTTCAAGCAGTGAGTTTTAGCTTGGCTTCTGTCATCAGATTTCCAGGAGTACCTGCTGCATTGATGGATGATTTGATGTGTGCCAGCTTGAGAGACAAGCAGGATATGCAGCAACACCTCCACACAGTGCAGTTTGTCATGTACACCAAACACTGAGCTCATGCTGAGAGCTGTAAGTTGGGCTGTACCCTCTTTTCTGTGCTCTCTTTCTAGTATGAAAGCACGTGGTGTAGTCAGGGGTTTCATACAGCACTGCCAACTCTTTACCTCATACTCTGTAATTCTGTAACACAAAGTGCTGGGTGGGGTGTTTCAGTAGCAACTATAAAACATCTGTGCCTACTTTTGTAAATGAGCTTTTAACAGTTTTTGTAGGGAGCATCCATTATGGATCAGGAAGACTGGCATGGTCTGGGCCAGGCTTGGCCTGAGTTAGTGCTGGCTCCACACAGCTCTAGGTGAGGTCTAGCCTAGTGAGGAATAATGGGTAATGCAAGGCCTAGTGCTTTTTAATAATGCCTGTTGTGTAATTAGCTGGGGTGAGCTCTGCTTTGTGCTGTGACGTGGGCACTTCTTTGTTTTAACACTAATCTTGTTTTGCATAGATGGAAATGAGTAAAGCCAGGAGTTTTGGAGCTGAATCTGCCTCTCTGCTAACCAGGTGATGCTGCCTCTTTGCTCACCTTGGTGGTTGGGCAGTCCAGCTCGATCCTTGACGTTTTTATCTTGACAATGGCATTTGGAAAGCAGTGTTAAAGTTTGTCTCTGTGTTGATATGCTTGTGTTTTACTGGGTG